ATCTTCGGCCACCGTGACATGTACGATTTCCTCGTCGAAATACGGAGCATCGACTGATCCGTTCCCGATTTCAAACTCGATCAATTTATCTTCGGACTCATAAGTGGATCGATTGATTTGGTTATAGGGGATCGATAGCTGCTGTCCGGCCTAGATCACGAATTTTCCTCATCAAATAGATCTCTCCGGTGGATTGATCGAGTTCGAACAGATCGGACTGAAATTACTAAGTGAGTATCGTAGTTTGTTTCGCGTCGCCGTGCATGTCGTGAATGCAGACTCAGCATCGGATTTTACAGCAGCTTCAAAAATTAATATGCTTGTTATTTGATGCTCTTGGAACTATTTGTCGCTAGGCGTGTCACTAAGTCTGCAATTACGACAAGTTCGCAGTGGCAGAGAAACTGTTCTTGCACAACGTGAGGTCTGCTGCTGTAACTTTGAGAAGGTGATTTCAAAAAAGTGAAATTTAAGGGGCTACCTCATTTTTCAGCGTATAATAGTAGGGTGGGCCATTCTTCGACTTGGTTTTCGAAGCCAAACTGGCAACTTTTGAACCAATAGGCAGCAATGGAGACAGCTTCACAGGATCAGCAGGTGCCTTAACGGAAGAATAATTAAAATCCATCAATGCCTCTCTTATCATCCATTCATTTTCGTTGACGTAATCAGCACACTCAATTGCGCCATGCCATCTGCATCGATCAGAATGATAACAGTGATTGAAAGATCAAAGGGTTCATACAAATCCCATTTGATCATGAAAGCATTCATTGCACTAAGTAGGGCTCATCTCCTCATTCAACATCATTTCCCGACACAGTTATTTCAGTAAGAACAAGCTGGCGATGACTAGAATAAGATCGATCATCTACCTTACCTTTACCCTAACCAACCAGTACGAAAACTGATCTAATGAGCTTTTTCTTAGGTGCTTAAAGGACGAATTCACGCTGAAAAAGGCAACCCATTTCAAATTAACCTAGGGATGGTGAGTGGTACACGAAAGAAGGAAGAACCATGAGAAACGGCCCAGAACCCGGGACCCCTTCCTTGCCCGTTGATTTGAGCATTGATGCGACTCTCATCGCTGTGCCCTCTTCAACACTACGCTCTCTCTGCTATCTAATCACTCGCCACGTATAGACTGCGGCGAGTGATCAGATGGTCGGTGGGCGGAGATCGCCAGACCCGCCAACTTTGAGGCATAATAGGTCGCCGAGGTCAAATTTTTCGATGCGAATTGCGCATCAGTTCGCACCCTCAGGAGGTCCGTGGGTCCCTCAACTAGGTGAATTACTTCTTCCTCGACCTTCATTCTAATCGTGAATTCCTCCTTTAAAAATGCAACTAAATAATCAGGCAGAATAGATGTGTGAAAGCCCTACAATCGAATTCGGCTCCAGTACTCGGATCGAGAAATGTTTCTGGCGTCTCCGTCCTTGTCCGAGAGGATCAGTGAAAGCGACCAGGGAGGCGGTTGACTTGGGGGAGACATCATCGAAAGTTTACCATCGACGATTGAGAAGTGATTCGACACATCTGAACGTAGCATCAATAAACCCTGTAGATGCAATAAATTTATATGGTGATATATACAGAAAAAAAACGTCGGTAAGAAACACATTTCGGATCGACGAAGCGTTGGTTGGGATCCAAAAATGATCTTTTCAGCGTTATGCAATCCATCAGCCAAGAAAAAACAGCAGGAACCGCTCGAGACGGCATTGATAAGGTCTATTCTGGTATTGCAAAAGCCTATGTAGCGAAAAGAACACGCCTGCATTGTGGAACGCATCAAGAGGACGAGATAGCAGAGGGACTAGAGAGACGCAGACACAATCGCGTCACCAGTTTCAAGGATCAACTGGGGATGAAGCTGATAATGCTAGCATTAGATCCTTCATCGCTAACGTGGCATAAAGTGGAACCGCAACAAAACGGTGCGGCTGTTCACCAATCTGTCTCGGTAATTATGGTAATCATAATTCACACCTTGGAATTCGTCCGTGCTATCAGCGTTGTGAGTTTACGATAAGCAGGGAATGAAGGAGGAGGTGTTCTTAACATCACTGTTTGAGCGCTGTTCAAAGACGTATCCGTCGTCATTCCATTGAATTGAAATCTCATAGCTTGCACGGGATGGCTGAGCTTCAAAAATGGTGGCCGATGCCCGTGAACAGGCCAAGAATTGGGCCCCCCCCTACGCGCCCTGTTCAGGATGTTATTTTGAAGCGCAAGTTCTTGTAGTAGATTAGATCAGGGTATAGAGAGGAGAAACAATTGATTGATCGTTCTCGCCGCTGTCAGACTTTGCAAATGAAGCGATTCGCTAAACGCGACGCGACCGCGGACGCTAGCGAATCGCTCCATTCGCAAAGTCTGACATCGGTCTTGGACTTTGATTCATGGTGTAGAACTAATCGTAACTCGTTGGCGTTGAATTTGACTTCAGTTTGTACACTTCCGTAGTCGGCATGGATATTGGCGGAAAGTTACAGCCTACTCAGGCAATCTGTGTCATGCATTATTCGCTGAAAATTGATTCATTCTCTCAAGCTCAAACTTTCTTAAGACCGTTGCTACTTCTCTTTTTGTGGATCCACCATTCGGTTAAGCCAAAAATGACAAGAATGAAGTCACCTATCAACTTTATAAGAGGCCTTGGGATTCCAACAGTACCCATGGAGGAACTCTCTAGGAACTCAGCATTAGGAAGGAAGATTGAGAAAGTTTCAACCTACCGCTCGAACGGCTCGATGATTTTTACGTGTGGACGAGCCGCGACCGATCTTTATCTGCACATGGCACACTGTAGACTTTCGTGGCACGCCCTGATCGGAAGCGATGATCGACAGGCGAACATCTGTGGGATCGGAGTCGGCCAGAGCACGACGGAGCTGTACATCGCCTGCAAATCAAGCACAAAAACCGTTGAGCGCCTTGGAAACGTCAAGCCAAATATGGAGAAAAGAAAGGATCAACTATTACGTTTCCTTCTTCTCTACTCCATCCTCCACCCTCCCATACATTTCATCTCTACAGCTGTCATAGAAGCATACCACTAACCATTGCTTTTGACGACGAAGAGCGGATGAGATTGCTGGCTACGGTAGACTACCGTACCATTTGAACCGTTATCAGGATCGCTGATCACCACAGTGCCGACAGTTGTGAACGGTGCAGAGTCGAATGGCACCAGCATTGACGTCACCGAGGTACACGACGGAGCATTGTCGTTGACATCAGCGATATGAATGTGAACCACTGCGGAGGTGGAAAGCGGTGGCTGAAAAGATCATGTTGAAAGTATGGCTCAAAACATGGGACACAGTACCGTACAAAATCACTTCTTGTGATAAATTTTTGAGTTTTTTCAGTACCCTCAAACTAAGGTGAGTTCGCAATTATCCTGGAATCTCAACAACAACGAAGAGCGTTCAATTCTGGCGGGCGAAAAAAACGCGTCAGGTTCTTGGTCAGGAAACATTTAGCCCACCTTCATCGATTCTCTACCAATCATTTCTCTTCTGCGACCATTAGATGTACTCTAACCTGACCATGGATTCAGTAGCAATTGGGAGTGGTACAGACAGCTCCTACCTTTCTAGCGCTCTTATCCATATAAGGGTTTTAGGGTAACGACGTATGATCTGGATAGACAGAATAACAGGCGCAAAGATTGCAGTTTTCTTGGGCTACTCGTAGAGTGCGCAGCAAGACCTAAAGGCACGTGTTGGCTTCTGTGACTCCGCCCCCAAAATGTGGTCATGAGTGACGCCTGTGCTTCCCTCGACTCTGTACTCATTCATCACTCTCTTCCTTTGTTTGATTTTGATTTGATTTATTACACGAGCGAGCCCGTGTGTATGTAATAATCACAAAACACGAACCTTTGAAAAATGAACCACATAAATGACGTAGGAACTTAAGCTGATTGCGAAAATAAAAATGTTAGTAACAAGACAATAGTAATTATAAGCAACAAAACGGGAAACAGAAGAGGAAAAAAAAACATAACAGAAAAAAAAACACAACAACGAAGGAAGGAAAGTTATGATAAGTGTTGGGTCACTAGTCTTTTGAAGTGAGCATATGATTTCGGTGCCCCAGCCTGCCTCACAATTTTGTTGAATTCCAAGCCAGCACGATGGCAAAAGAAGTGACTTCGATACCTAGACTTAGGTCGAGGGATAAAAACCTTGATACTTCCGCCACGAGTACGAGAGTCACCCGCTGAGAAAAGCTTATGTTTATCGAGTGCGACCTTCCCAACGAGAATCTTATAAAGCAAATATAAGTCGTTCAATTTCCTTCTTTTTTTTCGAGCGTCTGCAGACCGAGAATTTTATTTCTAGTAGCACTGTTAGGTATTTTCGCATAGTCATATCCATGGACTCTAATCATTAACTTCCTAGTGAAGTCATTTTGAACTTTTTCAAGAGCCTTAATCGAAGATTTTTTGTGCGGAAAATATATGGCAGTCCCATACTCGAGCAATGGACGAATATAGGTCTTAAACGCACGCAGAAGAACCTCAGGATCACGACAAGCAAAGGCCTTAAAGAAGTTATAGACCTTATTGGTAGCCTTGCTGACAATCATGTTGACATGGCTCGAGGTCACGACAAATAATGAAACCTAGATCTGTGGCCTTGTCTACGGTTAGCAGAACCCTGCCGTCTATGTGATAGGAATAACGGCAAGAAGGTGACTGGGATAGAATCAAAACCTTAGTTTTGTCAACAGAAAGAGGGAGTCCCCAAGTCTTGGACCAATTGCTAACAATATCTACAGCCTTTTGCAATTGGGCCGAGTCAGAATCAGAGTCAATGACCTTGTAAACTTTAATGTCGTCAGCAAAAATCTTACATTCTACTCCCATTCTTTGTTTTCGACGTCACTGTCAGTTTGTTTACCGTAAACTCGTTATGGTGCTTGAGACAAACTGCAAAGAGAAGGCCTAATTTGAACTATAAGCCTATTCGGCAATAAATTTCGCTTTTTGTTATGGCGAGCCACTGAGCGCTTCCCCCTGCAGTCGCAGATTACTCATAATCTCTCATAGAATGCAACTAGGACAATTATTCGGACCCCTCTGGCTCAGAGAACGTTTCTCTATAGCGTGACCTTATTAATATCAAAAAAGGCGAATTTGGTCCTTCACAATAGTTAGCCTTAGCCAAACAAATCCAATCAACGTTTCAGGGGGTAACGTGGAATGATGGGCGCATCCACGAGTGTTGACCAATGGCATAGTTCGTATAAAATTTCTGATCGAACACTTTTGATCGTCATTCATTCCGGATCGGTTAATTGGTTGCACACCGCTGAACTTGCCCTACCTGTGTAGGATGTGCCATGAGCTCTACCATTTCCCTACAAAGTTACAGTGATTGGGTACTTCCCGCGAGACTAGCGTGAACTGAAAGCAAGAAACATTAATATGCTTCATTAAAAATGGGCGGAAGTGGTGTAGTGGCAAGTGGCACGCTTACCACGCGAGCGGTCCGGGGATCAAATCCTGGGTCGTGAGTCGCCCGGGCCAACCAAGCCTTCCATCCCTCCGGGGTCGGTTAATTGGTACCAGACTTGTCTGGGAGGATAAAAACACTGACTTGTACATCGGCTGGCCCCGCAAGTCATTGTATAGGCCACATCGCATTCAAACGCCACTACGAATGTACAAATGGAAGTAGAATGCGTGCCGCATCCCAAAAAGGGATTGATCAACGGCAAATGCTTTATCCTTTATCCTTTATTATGCCATTAAGAATAATTATTACATTCCTTTCATCCATTCCCATCTCAATCTGCATATTTACATAAGGTGGAGAACAGGGCAGCCTCCAACGTCTATTTCAGAAGGACAAGGAAACGAGTCAGGGGGCAGGAAAACACTAGCTTCACTTTTTCCCGTCTGTGCGTCTACCCCACTTTGATGCAGCCTTATGGTTGGACATAGTATAGTCAAATTTTTCGAAAATCAGTAGGCAGCTTCAGGTGCGATTGAACTCGAGACTAATCTTCGAAAATGACAGAAGCCTTCTTAATGAGCTAATCACTCTGATAGCTTACCTCTCCTTGATCTTGTGCCGTCACAGTAACAGTGTATACACTTTGAACTTCACGATCAATGCTCTCATTGGTATAAATCACACCGCTCTTCTCATCGATACCAAACGCCTGGAAAGTCAATAAAATTGATAATTTATATGGGTGCCATCAGACACAATATTAGGAGAAGGGGCTGAAATTCAAACCCTGTCATATTCCATCATGAAATTTTGAAGCGCGAACGGATAAACAGAAGCGACTGTCCCAGCACCGAACAATTTTGTAAGAGAAGGGCGAGGGCACTGCTCAAGTCTTCTGAGTGCTCGAAGGTAGGTAAACCAGTCATCCAAATGCAGCTGACGTTAAGGTGTTAAAGTGCATTCTGTCAATGTATTCACGAGATGCTATCTAGTCAAGAGAGCGCAGATAAAGACAGAAAATTGCACTAGCTCAAAGGACCGAGTGAATGTAGTCCGCAAACCAAAAGGCACATGAAGCAGGACACCAAGGGGAAGCTCCACCCCCTAATGGACGTTGTGACCGCTGACACTCATGGTCAGTTCACCACGCTGAAATCCTTGCCTGGACTAGGCAGTGTTCATAGTTACACCATGATACTCTCCTCCAGCTTCTGTTCTACTTCTCTCGATCAGGGACCTATCGCGGTCCCATAGCGGGGGAAATCGCCAAGAAATGACATTCAAGATCAATTGCAAACACTCACGCTTGATCCATTGGTAATCCTGTAGAGCACTTTCCCGTTCTCCCTCGAGTCAGCATCCCTTGCTTTCACTTTCACAACAGCTGTCATCAATGGCGAGTTCTCAGGTACCTTAATGTAATCGACATAGGGCCCTGAGACGAAAAGCTTGATTACCGTAACGGCTGTGGAAGAGACTGACCTCAACCTCATAAGTCGGGCTGTCGAACACCGGCGCATTATCATTGAAGTCGGATACATGCAGAATGAGGGTCATGTTCGCCGAACGCGGTGGTATTCCCTGGTCTTGAGCCTGAAAACAAAACCAGTGATTAATAGGTAATCCCACTGGATATGTATGTGTTGATAAATTGTGTATATGCCTCAGCAAACATATGTAGATATACCTATTATATGTATAGTTATGTGAGTTTTGAGGTTCAGAAATTTCACTTTGCGAAGTTTCACTCTACCCGCGGATTATTTCTAGCTGGATGGCCTGCTGCTTACTTTGCTTGATAAGGCGAATAACGGTCGAGTAATTCCTCGAATGCTCTGTACTATGTTAGAATAATTCGAGAGTGAATGTACGCCTGGAGAGCTCGGACGACTCGCGCGTGGCGAGAGTGAATGTCTGCGCGGAGGGCATGATTGAACAGGCAAAAATCCTCGACGAGCTGTTGACGATTCCTCGACCGATTTTCACCCTGCTTGGATTCTCACAAGATCAAGTACTCCCGTTGGAAAAGGGAGGAATCGCCTATCAGGCTAGAATACAGGGGAAAGGTGCGGTGGGTAAGAGACGTAGAGGATATCCAAAAAGTATAATGAAATCCCACGGGCAAAAATTCAGCCTTCTGCCACCTTCGTCTCTGCCATTCACCTACCGGTGTCCTGGGAACCGGCTGAAACTTCTGTGAATCACAAGGCAAATAGCCTCTTGATCACAATTTGTTTACTGATCTGCGTTTTAGTAATACATATCGATTGACCTTCAGCGTTCGTTCTCTATATTATTGATTTTTTCGAGCATCACTAAAAACGCTGTCGTGTTTTCGTAAGACCTCGAGTTCCACTGTTTATGATCCACAAGCTAGCAACTCCCATCGCTTCAGCGCAGCCGTAATTTTTCTTGATCACATTTTCATTTTCCGAGGTTGCGAATTCAACGGATTGAAAGGTTGACACCGCCCCAGCCATAGTAGTGAAGTACAGTACCTTGACCCGGATACGGTAATCCTTGGTTTTCTCAAAATCGAGTGATTCGGTGAGCTGGAGTTGACCGGTTAGCGGCTGAACCATCACAGGACATGGAGGATGAGAAGACAGTATTGAGTACACTATTGCTCCATTCTGAAAAAACAAATGCTCTAAAATTTCATAATTAATTTATAGATTACGGTAGAAAAGACGGAAGAGACTTTATGAACTATAGAAAAACCATAGAAGATCATATTGGAAGGGAAACTAGTGTCGCACTAATTACATTATTCATGTTGAGAGCCTCCTATTAGGAGTGCGTACGTGCGCAGCGCGGCCTGATTTTTAACATGCTATTTCGTGAATATTGACACAACAGTCAGCCGCGCCGCGACCGCCCGCGTCGTGTACTGTAGGCTCTTCCTAGGCCTTGCTGACGTACCTTCCTCTTGTCCTTATCCGTAGCTTGGACGATATAGAACGGCTCGTGTGGCGGTTGATTCTCGCTTACCGTAATCTCCAACATATCGATCGGAAATTTCGGAGGATTATCGTTGTGGTCCTCTATCAGGATCACCACTTGCGTGTGATTTGAGCCACCGTTCAACAGTTCAGCCTAAAATCTACCCATATTAGCTTTCCATGGAGGATCGCTTATGGCAAACTGGAGCTGACCTTCACATTCAGTACCACACGATCGATCTTGTCGGCGTCCAGATATCTTGCTACCGTAATTCGACCCGTATCTGGATGAATCATGAATTGATGGTCCAAATCACCGGAGTAGATGCTGAAATGAAAACAAAAACATCATTAATGGTGCGACACCACCCTCAAGACCACGAGAGCTACGGCAGCGAGAAGTTACACAAAAACCCTCCCAACAGCAGTGTCATCCCTACTTAGCGCATTATTGTCGAGGATTTACGGGACTAGGCTACGTTATTTTCCAGGAATTGCACTCCCTACCCTTAGCCTCACCACAACTCGTTAGAGGCAGTGATCACTATGGCTGGAGGGCGGTGCGGTTTCGATGACGTCATTGAACGCCATTGATGGCCTAGACCAGTCGAATTGAGATTTTGGCCCCAACTTTGGAAAGTCAAATTGCGAAGGAATGCAAAATCGTGTTGATACTTCATATTTACTTGCTAACTTACTACAAGAATGTTGAGTTATCCACGAAACAGTTCGCCACATTCAAACCAGACAAAAAGAAATCGAGAATTACTTGCTTAGTTTCAATTTTGATCCCAATTTTTCAGTCCAAGTGAGACAATTTGCCTAGGCGGAGGAAGGAAGACAAACAGGAGTTACCTATATCGTATAGTACCAGGCCCAGTAGCCAGAACGGATCCGATCGAAATTCCTGGCAGAATGTCTTCCGGGGTTTTGATCACATAGCTCGACTGAGTGAACGATGGTGCCATCGCATCGGAATCTATCACGTAGATGTGAATGTGAGCCTGGAAGAAAATGTTTATTCCTCATTTGAGCAAAATGGTGTGGAAAATTACCACATTTTTCAAATTGTCATAAAACGGCTCAAAACGGTGGCTGTGAGCATTTCCTTCGCTACTTCAGTCTATAGGAATTAGGTTCTCCCATAATTTGTGTCGCTTTCTTTTGGAATGGAAGTGTTTCCTTCAAATTCCCCGTTCTCACATAATGTTATCTATCATTTGATAGGGAATTCCCGCTCTACAAAATACATTGAATCCCTCCGAAACCCACTGTGAACTCAACTGAGTTACAGATTTGCAAATTGGGAACTCCAGTAGACGAGAAGAAGCTAAAACGGTAACTAACTCAACTCTAGTTTCGGAACCAAGCAGCAATTCATTCTAAATTTATCCTTACTTAGTAACGACCTCTGCTTAACATTAGACTATCAAACCCACCGACAAGCCACTCACCTCTGGAAAAAAACCTAACTTCCAATGAAACTTCTCGTATCGCCAAGGTCACTTACCGGTTCTTCGCTAGTGCCACCACTTCCGTCTTTGGCCTGTATCGTAATGTCGTATTTGCCCTGCGATAACGGCTTTTTGAGGAAAATCTCGCCCGTCTTCTCATCCACCTGGTACACCGATGGACTGCCAGACTTTAGCGAGAAGTGGACCTGCAATTAAGCACTAATAATTGGTTCCACACATAAGCATAGCTGTTAAGGAAGCCACAATAGGGGGGGTCTTACGATTAGATTAAGGG